TGAGGCTGAAGATAGTGCATCTCCTCCTGCTGCTCCCGTCCACTCCAAGAAGCGGAAGACTACTTCCAAGAAGGCCAAAGCAGCAAATGTTCAACCTCCACCTCCTGAGCCAGTCACTATGAAGGAAATGCCCGCACCTGAGTGGATTGCTCTGCGCCGAGTCAATCCCTATCGTCAAGACCGTGATCATGTGGCTGATTCCAAGTTTTGGACCCTCTTCCAGCAACGCAACTATGACGAGATTTTTTCTCAATTTGTCAACAAGTATGTCCCCCAGAAGAGTATCAACATTGCTCACTTTGACAAGACTCCAATAAATTCTGCTTACTTTGAGGGGATCCAGAACATGTGTGTGAAGCTCAACCTTCTTCCACTCATGTGCTTTCAACATGATGTGTCTCCGCCCCTTGTGGCTCAGTTCTATGCCACGGTGCATTTTGGGACTGGTATGCAGCGCACTCTTACCTGGATGAGTGGCAATGAGAAGTTCTCTGCTCCGTTCTTCGTGTTGGCCGGGCTTCTGGGCTATGAGTATACTGACACTACTGTTGACCGTGGCTACAAGATTCACGACAAAGGGGTCTTCCAGGCTATTCACTTGGCTGATTTGTATCCTCCATCAGGAAAGGTTGGATCTGTTGGTGATCTTCTGCCTTTCTATGACATCATGCACCAAATCTTTCGAGAGATACTTGCGGTCAAGGTGGGTGACAAGACCAAGATTCGTGGTCACCTCATCAATCTTCTTCACTACACTTGTCACAACTCCGAGCAGGGCCCCATTGATGTGATGGACTTTATGTGGCATGAGATGTACAGTGTGGTAATGAACCGAAAGGTTCCTATCTATGCTCCTTATATTACTGCCTTGATTGCTGAGATTGCTCCTGAAGCACTTGCGGGTCGGTGTCTGACTGGCCACTCCAGTGTTAACTTGCTTGTTAAGAAGGGCAAGGCAACTGCTCATGAGGGTGAGGATGAGGAGGAAGAGGAGCTACATGCTGGAGATTCTCACCGCTTTGAGTTTCGTTCCCTCTCACACACTTTTCATCGTGGGGAGCCCAGTGACTCCGGGTCAAAGAAGAGCAACAAAATTTGGCGCCTCCTCAAGAACATGTTTTGTCTTCAGCAAGATATGCATAAGAAGCAGTAGGAGGAGCAAAAGTCGAGGAAGGAGAGCATGAAGGCTCTTAAGGATGTCTGCGTGCATCTGGTATGAACATTGCTCACGGCTCTGAGTCTCGTGTGACTTCTTTTGCGAAATACCAGTCCAAGTTTGCTCGTTTTGATGTTGAAGCCGGAAATGAAGCCTCTTCTCACCGCCCTCATGGCTCCGAGTCTTCCGGAGAGTCGACTGATGACCCTTCTGCGTCCCTCTCCTAGGGGCTGTTTATGGATTCCTCCATTCTTCCTTTTTGCCATCTTGGTGACAACAGGGGGAGATGTTGTGGTGCTTGATAGGGCTTATCGCTTATCTTTGATTTATCCGCCTTGAGCCTTTGCTTTTATCTGCCTTAATTTGGATCTTTGCTTGCTATTTGAACCTATTTATGTTCCGTTAGAAACTCTATCTGTGTGTGAGAAACTTATGGCAAGGGGGTTACATGGCATATTCTATTTGCTCATATTGTGGGTACAAAGGTTAGTAAAGCGTTCTATGTCGATATATCATTCTTGTCTGGGTACGCATAGTGATAGGGGGAGTATCCCTTAACCATGTCATTTCATTCAAATGCAATCTTAAAATAAGGCATGGGTTGTGGGGGAGTACTCTCCTATCATTGAAATTGCTTAATACTGTATATACTTTATCAGGTTATCCTCTCAAGCATTGTTGTCATCCATGTCAAAAAGGGGGAGATTGAAAGTGCAATATTGCACTAAATTGTTTTTGACATCTATGACAACATCATTTGTGTTTCTAACCACATGCTCTAAGTGTTAACAGCCCTGAGTAAGTCAAAGTGAAGCATGGATGGTTTTTCCCTCTCTTATTGGAAAAAGGAAAAGCGGTGTGCTCAAGGAAAGAAGAAGTTCCATTAAGTTTTCTTATTACTTGAGTCTTTAGGGCAGCCGCACTATTAAGAGGGGGTGCATCATAAAAACATCCAGGAAATCAACTTACCTTCTCACATTAATCTGAAAATCTTAGTGTCATGTTTCTGTTAAGGCCGGAACTTCCGCGATGACCGAAACTTCCGGGGACCGGAAGGTCCGGGAAGCTTCCGGTGTACCCAGAAAAACTGCACTTTTCGTGCAATCTCTCTGTGTAGCCCGGAACCTCTCCGGAACTTCCGTCTCCCGGAACTTCCGGGCGCCGGAACTTCCATCCTCTGTTTCTACAGCTTCCGGGGTACAACTGAGTGGTGCAAACTCTCTGTGTATCCCGAAACCTGGCCGGAACTTGGCCGGAACCTCCGGGGTCCGGAACTTCCGTTCGTCGCCAGAACTTCGCCGGGCTACGCAGAAATCTGTCTCCAACGGCCAGATTCCATCCCCACTGAGGTGCTCTTGGGCTAGTCCCGCAGCACGAAGAAACCTCGGGTAGTGGCCCGAGCATGACGGTGGCAACCTACTCCTCCGCCAGAGTTGGTCGGCCGACTGGTTGTGGCGGACTTCTTGGTCCCACATCTAATCACAAAGGTGAGTTGGGAAGGCGTGGCTGCCGGTGAAAATCGAGGTCCGACCACGGTCATGGCAGGCGATGGTAGCGTCTATGCTCTGTTACCTTGTTGAAGGCGTCACCGTTGTAGCCACTTTCTAGCCACTCGCACTGCTCCGGGGGAAACCCCAGATCTGGGTATCCCAGATCGGACGATGGTGGCGCTCTCGGTGTCGCTCTCCCTCATGAGGGCATTGTTTTGGAGCAGCTGCTACATGGAGGACGCATGGAGTGGAGCGGTGTACATCTACCGCGTCGACGACGGTGAGTCTCGGCGGCGTGGCGCAACAGGGTCTCGGTGACGGACGTGAGATGATGGACTCTTGCGGGCGGGGGCGCTGTCTGGCGTCGATGGCAGGCTTGGCAAGGTCGATGTGTCAGTACCTGCTCTAAAGATAGATCAGTGGAAGATGTTGGTGACGGCCTCTGCAGCGTACGCATGCGGTGCCTGCTGAGAGTGCGCCGGACCGGTGTGTGCACTAGACTGGCATTGCGGCTTGACTGGGGCCTCCGACTTTAGATGTTAGGTTTTGGTGCGAGGTCTGTTTGGTATTCGGCTCGAAGATGTTAGGTTTTGGTGTGAGGTCTGTTTGGTATTCGGCTCGGACTTTCGGCACCCCTTCATCAAGAGGTTAGGAGTTACGACAGATGTTGTCATGATGATGGCTTCAGACTTACTACTAATGTATTACTTTGTAAGGTCTTTGTGAATAATTAATGAAATGGTTGCATGCATCGTCTAGATGCAGAAGCCGGGGGTCTTCCTCCTTTTCGAAAAAAAGAAAACAAATGCTTTCGCGAGAAGGATAATCTGCGTTTCCGAGGAAATAGAAAAAAGCACATCATGGGTTTTCAAAAAGAGATTGAAAACCGAAACAAAATACAAGTGTAGGGTAATAAAGGGTTTAGCTAATGGAGAAATTGACTCTTCCCGGAACCAGCAACGCGTAAACCATGTCAAACCAAGACCGATCAATATCCGGGTTTTTTCTTCTGGGTTTTTGGTTGCTGTTTTTCTTGTTTTTTGGGGATATTTTTCCAGTATTAATTTCGCACCGCATGATGATTATTTCAGAACCATTCTTTCACTGAGCCATATGTCTGTTAATTTGTACTGTCATTTGTCAGTGCCTAGGACGAACTAACATTTCTTTAGTACTCCCTCCGTCCCAGATACATCCGTATCTAGACAAATCTAAGACAAGAATTTTGGGACGGAGGGAGTAGATAGGAGTGAAACAATGTTATTTTCGTACTGCATGATGATTATATGGTGTCTATGTTGTTTAATGTATGGTAAGATCACCACTAGTGAGAAGAAGTGAGCATAAGATTAGGCCATGAGTAACCAAACATCAATGTTTTTGCATCTACGCAACCATAATCCACAAGCGCAGCCAACCAAACATCATGTATCAAATGATCTCATGATGCAATGCAGGCAGCCAAACAAAATTGCAGAACATGGTTTAAAACTGGTGTTACCTCAGCCAGGGCTCTACCGAGCTACAGATGTAAAGAGGTCAAAACGGCTGGAGGCAACCAAACACGCCATAAAGACCCGGAAAGCAACTCAAGTCATGTCACCGTCCAGCTATTCCCCAATGTATTGCGCTTGCACACGACGTTTTTGTCGTTGAGAACTGAAACACGCACATAGATTCACACTGGAAATGACTTTAACCTTGGCGTTGAGGTGTGAGGTGCATCCTATCCCTCGGGAACAAACAGCACTGTCGAGAAATGCGACTCATATCCAGGTTCAGGTACCGTTGTTCTAAATAAGTGAGTACTGGCACTCTAGCTTTCTCCAGTACATTGCCCGTGTATGAAACCACAAGAAAGTTACTAGGCAGTTTGTCGAATGGCCGTACCTTATTTGGATTCAACATCCGGTGTCTGCACCACCCCTCGTGGCGTGTCGCCATCTTCCCCACGCCCCATTACTGATAAAGCGGGGACATTCATATCAGAATGATGAAGCGGGCCGGGGACCGGGGACAATACCATTATCACGAGTCCCTCTCCCGCCACCCCATTTGTTAACAGCGATGAGGTTGCGCCTGTGCTGGCAACCAGCTACCTTATAACACAAATAAATAAAGAGAAGTGGTCTCCCCGAGAAGATGAACAATGTCCGTCGGATGCTGATCCAACGAGCTATGTGTAATGATAAATTTGGCTGCAATGCCGTTTTTCTTTTGATTTCCTGCTTTATAATTATTTATGACGTTATACCAGGTTGTCATGCTGACGGGCAAGCTTGCCGGGTCAGCTATATACCGGAGACAGATTCCAGTCGAGAAGTTGAACCTTGAGCCACTATTTTTCTGTGCAAATGGAGGCCGAGCGAGCACGCCAGAACAGCCCAACTGAGATCACAACTGACGGCCCCGAGCCGGATCCTTCTCCTGCCACCAATCTAACAAATGGAAACAGACAGCCCCAGGATCCTCAGCCTCCTGCACAACCGGAACCAGAAGAGATCAAGAGCTACGAGCTCATGCTGGACCTGAGCAAGTACATCCTACTGCTGGCAACGCTGGTGGCCACGGTGACATATGCAGCGGGGTTCAACCCGCCTGGGGGCGTCTGGCAGGAGACTGTCACCTCCTCGGACCAACTCGCCGGCGACTCCATTATCCGGACCACCAGCTACTGCCAGTACCTGGTGTTCTTCTACTGCAACGCCACCGCATTTGCCTCGTCGCTCGTGGTCATCGTTGCCATCCTCTTCCTCACCATCGTGGAAGAGAAGAAGAAGCACCGCGTCCCCCTCCTGCCACTTTGGGCGGTCATGGTGGTGGACCTGTTGAGCGTCATGGGGGCCTACGCTGCCGGGACCTGCCGCGACAAGCCCACCACCATCTTCTCCTTGGTGCTGGTGGGTGCCGCCATCGCCTACCTTGCTATTCAGATGATGCTGACCGACCCTGTGCAGGAGAAACGGCTTCGCAAGGTCCTGATGCTGCTGGCCTCGTTGCCACGCAACAACAGCTGCACCGACCCTGTGCAGGAGAAACGGCTTCGCAAGGTCCTGATGCTGCTGGCCTCGTTGCCACGCAACAACAGCTGCACCGACCCTGTGCAGGAGAAACGGCTTCGCAAGGTCCTGATGCTGCTTGCGACATTTGCGGTGAGCGTGACGTACGTTGCCGGGATAAGCACACCAGGCGGCTTCTGGGATAACACCGAGAACGGTCACCGCCCTGGCGATGCAATCCTCAAGGACAGCCATGGCAAGCGCCTGACGGTGTTCTTGTGCTTCAACACCCTAACGTTCGTCGCATCGCTGCTCATCATCGTGGTGCTTCTGGACAAAAAGCCTCCCATGACTAAGGCATACGGGTTTATCGCTGTGGCGCTGATCAGCCTCATCGTGTCATACACGGCCGGCAGCTGCAGGGAGACCGACACCAACTTCTATGTGGGCAGCCTGGTTATTGCCGTCCTGGCATTCATGGCATTGTTTCAAGTTGCATTTGTTCAAGATACCATAAAAGCTGCAAGGGATACCAGGTTCTTGACCAAAATCAGAACCTTCTATCATTCGGTGTGGAGCTTGCCAGAAGCAATAACAATAGCTCCAGGTCCGAAGACTAATGACAGCAGGTACTGCGGGAGCACATCCCTTTTCTTATTCTTCCTCCTCTACGAATCATTGGCTTAAAATGACCTCTTTTGCTCCTCAATTACATAGGGTCGCAGCGGAGAAATCTCGCTCCCTTGTACTGTTGCTAGCCACTCTTGCTGCAACCATCACTTATCAAGCGGGGCTGGATCCTCCTGGTGGCGTCTGGCCGGATAATGGGAACGGCCACATGGCTGGTGACCCAGTCCTCCTCACGGTGAATGCTAAGCGGTACAAGGCCTTCTTCTACTGCAACTCAGTCGCCTTTGTAGCCTCCTTGGTGGCCATCATCCTGGTTCAAAGCAAGGTTATGCTCCAGACCTATGTGCTCGAGGCAGCCATGGTACTGGACTTGTTTGGCCTCATCGGAGCATACGCCGTGGGAAGCTCTCGGGACTTGACCACTTCCATTTACGCCACGGCCTTGGCAGGCGCCGTCCTGGTCTATGTAGTGATCCATGTTGTCTTCTTCACACTGAACCACGCCAACCCCACCTCAGAGGAAATTAAGTCCGTGGAGAAGAGGCGCAAGCGCTTGCTCCTTTTCGCAGTCCTGGGCGCGACCATCACTTACCAAGACGGGTTGACCCCTCCCAGCGGTTTCCGGCTCCAAGATGATAGCGGGCACCACGCGGGGGATCCGGTCCTCCTATACAATTTTCCCCGCCGTTACACGGCCTTCTTCTACTGCAATACGGTGAGCTTCATGCTGTCCATCGCCCTCATCATACTGCTCGTGAACCCGCATCTGTACAGACCAGCGATATGAAGCTATGCGCTTGCTGTTTGCACAGTGGCGGGCATGTTTGGTCTGATGGGAGCATACGCTGCCGGAAGCACGCAGCATCTGAAAACATCCATCTACATTTTCGTCTTGGTGGTTGTGGTCCTGGTCGTTATAGCTTTACTGCTCCTGGTATTCTTGTTGAAGGAAAGGAAAAACAAACCTGAAGACAAGGCCGGTGGACCGGAGCCTGTAAAGGAAAGGAAAAGGAAAGGAGAAGGAGAAGGAAAAGAAAAGCATGTCATGCGCAAATACCTGATGCTGCTAGGAATCTTGGTGGCAAGCGTCACCTACCAGGCCGGCCTAGATCCACCCGGTGGAGCTTGGCAGCACAGCGGGAATGGGTACGACGCGGGCAACCCGATCATGCATGACAGCCAGAGGCACCGTTTCCTCGCCTTCTTCTACAGCAACTCTACATCCTTCGTGGCATCCATTGTTGTTATCATCATTTTGCTATTGCAGCGGAAGGACGAGGAGAAATGGTCGCTCAGGGTGATGAACACAACGATTGTGCTGGATTTGCTCGCTCTCCTGGGGGCCTACGCAACAGGCTCCAGCAGGGGGTGGAAGACGTCTGTGTATGTCATTGCACTAGTGATCGCCGTGCTGGCATATGTTGCAACCCATATGATGCTGGCAATCTTATGTTCTCATAGTTCGCAGGAAGAGGGCAGCAGTGGGACAGCAGAGGCTTGATTATTAGTGTTCTCTGTTCATACAAGACAGTAACAGTAAAGCCTGTGATTCTCTTCTTATAAACCTATCAAAATGTCAGCGTAGGCGATCTTCCTGTATATCTATTTCCCCATTCTCCCCTGATTTGATTTACTGCTTTT